ACTTTTTGCAATTCTTGAGTATAGAATCCACCTTGAATCTCTTCGTTCTTCTCATCTTCTAATATGTAAGTTGTTGGATTAGTTAGTTTAACCTTCTTAATTTTAAAAATTTCATTGGTCCAACTGGGTGTATATCCTTTGGTGAAAACGTGGCGGTATTTACTGATTCTAACATGATCCCCTTTTTTAAACTTAGGTTTATGTGGATCAACTGTTTTCAAATAATTATATGCGATTATATATTGGGCGTTTTTATCATTGACTTTACTGGGTATAGCTCCCGTAGTTGAATGTCTGGTGTTGTTATATTTTTTAACAATTTTTGGAAGAATTTCTAACCATTTGTAGGATCCTTGAAGACTAAACTCTTTCCACAATGATGACTTGAGTGTTCTTATTACTCTCTCAGCTATACTAGCTTTCAAATTAGAAAAAGTGCTGTAGTGATTAATATCATATTTTTGCATAAGTTTTTGAAAATCTTTATTATAGAATTCTTTTCCATTATCAGTTTGTAAATTTTTAGGTGGGGTCATCTGTGACAGAATTTGAGCCATACCTTCAGTAACATCTTTAGCTGTTTTTTTCTTAATCGGTATAGCCCATACAAATTTACTAAATGCATTAATAACAACCAAGATATAATTATATCCTTTGTTAACTTTAGAGTAAGGAATCATAACAGCCAAATCAGCTTGGATTAGATCATTCAACCCTTTAACAATAACATGTCGTCGCTTGTATTTTTTTCTAGCTGGTTTATGTAGTTCATTAACAACTTGAATCTTAGACATTTTTTTCTAATGGACATTGAAAAACAAAATCAGCACACATTTCATCTGGTGTTCCCAGTTTAAACTCGATTTTATCATCTTTGTTAATGTTAATTCCTTTTAATTGATGATATTTATATGTTTTAGAATTTAGTAAAATATCTCCATCAGCACTATAGTGTTTACAACTTTCAATTTTACCCGATAAGGGAAAAACAAAAGCAGTACCTTGATTATCCAAAATATAAAAGTCTTTATTATATTTTACTCGTTTTACGCCTCTTAATCTGATAAAACATTTACTATGGAATGAAGCTGGCTCACAAATATAAAATGGTGAAGTAAAATTTAAAACATTAGTTTCATTGCTTTGATGACTCAAAAAGTGACCTCCGAATTTGTTGATTGGCATTGTCACACTAATTAAAACTTTAGTGGGTTCACATTATTATACCCCCTTCTCTCAATTCCTCAATGATTGACACAATCTCATTATTATTACCTGTATTTCCTGCAGTTTGGGATGCTACAAGTAATCTAAGTCGATCAATCAACTCATTGTAATTATCAAAATATTTATAATCAATAGGTTTATTTGAATATTGTAACATTCCTTTTCCAATTTTTTTACTCCTTGTCATTATTCCACTCATTAATGAAGAAGGTATTGATGAAACTCTCCGTCTAAACGGTCCTGTTTCTAACTTTGGTTTAATAATAAAATTATATTTATCCTTAATATCTCTAGAAAAATTTTTAATTGGTAAATCTGGATCATTATTTCTTCTAGCGGCATTGGTTATTTTTATTATATCCACATATTCATTAACATCAGTTTGTTTATATGCAATCGGTTCTTTTCAAAAAAGTAATTCATAAAGTCCAGGTGTTCCGGGATATTTAATACCTTTTATTACAATATCCGAACCATCAAAGTTTAATTCTGAGTCTCCAATACGAAATTTTTCGGTTTCTATATCATGATAAATTCCTAAAACGTGATCAAATTTATTTTCAATATCTGATATATTTCTAAGAATATAATCTCTAGGTAATGGTGCTGTAAATTGATCCAGATATTCAACGAATGAAGGAGGTGGGTTTGTAGTTAAATCATGTAGACTTTTAATTGTATCTTCTATATATTCATCAACTTGCTCATCACTGGTTCTTGGCTGATATTCAAACGTTTGGTCTGGCTGATTTTCATAAATCTCTGATTCATTTAAACGAGTACTTTCATGTTCTGGAGCATGTTTAATTGTTTGACTTAATGGTGATGGAAAAGAAGAATATGCTATTTTAGTATAATCTTTTCGCGGAGGTTTACGCAAGAAACTGAACTTTTCTGATTTCGGTGTTAAATTTTCTTGTTTAATTATTTCTTGTTTCCCCAAAACTGAAACCAGTTGTTTAAGGGGGTCTGTTATTGGTTGATATGTTTTTTCCAAATGAGTTTGTGATTTTGTTATATCACTTTTTAAACTTTTGTATTTTTTTTTCAAATCTTGCCTAGCTTTTATTAGTTGTTTAGTCAGCCGAGGATTCATTTTGACTAAATTGTTTGATTAATAAATTTCTTTATATACTTATAAAAGTGTCGAAATTTTTTCTAAATTTACATTTTGAATCCTTATCAATAGTGAGGAAATCATATTTTTTTTTCCAACAAATTGTGCACATGTTTATAAAATCTTTAAAAGACATATCGATATTAACATGATCATCGTAAATATGTTTTAAATTAGTCATATCTTGTTGAAAAATTACTAAAAGATTCGAATTATCTCTAATAAGCTGTTTGGGGATTGCACTATATGTCTGACATATATAAAAACAATCTGTGTGTTTATGTCGACCAAAACAAAAATAATTTTGAATTATCTTTTGATCACAAGAAGCTACATCATCAAATATAATTAACGAATTTTCTTTAATTTCTTCTGGTCTAATTATATCTTCAGGTTCACTATATTCTTCATATCCAATTTCTCGAATAGGTTCCAGCAAAGCACGTAAATATCTATATTTGGGTTGATGAAGACTTTTAGAATACACATATACATTTTCAAATCTTAATCCATTTGGGTGTTCAATTAACGAGAGCATACAGTTTGTCTTTCCACTTCCGCTTGGCCCAACAATTAAACATCTTTTAGAGTCACCACCAAACAAAAAACCATGTTTATTAAGTTTTTCATCATTTACAAGTAAATCATGATTTGTTACTGGTAAGATCATGTGCTGTTTTTCAATCTTCATTTTAATGAATCCTGCAGAAGACTGAGAGTATATATAGTGGGGAGTAAGTATATAAATAGCACAATGGTTAAACGCCAGCGACAGAGTTCACTTCGAAGAGGAAGAGGAATAGTAAATTCTTTGATAAACAAACTACCAATTGAATTACATATTCCTGGGTATTCCTACTGTGGTCCTGGGACTCAACTTGATAAGAGATTACAAAGAGGTGATAAAGGCATAAACCAATTAGACGCTGCTTGCAAAGATCACGATATTGCATATTCACAAAGTAAAGATCTCATTACTAGACACCAAGCCGATAAGATATTACAACATAGAGCTTGGGAGAGGGCTAATTCGAAAGACGCTAAATTAGGAGAAAAAACAGCGGCTTGGTTTGTAACAACGGCGATGAAAGGTAAACGCAAACTTGGAATGGGTATAAAAAAACGAGCAAGAAAAACTAAAAAGAGAATTATTCGAGTACCGAAAATAGGTGGATTTTTACCTTTACTACTTCCTCTTTTATCAGCTTTAGGAGCTGTCGGAGGTATGGGTGCTGGTATTGCAAAAGCAGTAAACAATGCTAAAGCTAACCGCATACAACTGGAAGAACAGAAACGGCATAATTTAGCTATGGAAAAGAAAGGCCAGGGTTTAAGTCGTAAAAAAAAGGGGAAGGGTTTATATTTAAGACCATATAAAGGATATGGTATCATGTCAAAAAACTAATACTACCACAACGAGCGCTTACCGATTTAGATTTAAAAAAATTTGCTAAAATATTGCAGATTCCTCATTTTAGAGGAGTGTTTATGAGAGATTCTTTACCTCGTACAATCCATAAAAAAGAGAGCGGTATTATAAATATGGATTCAAATATAGGACCTGGGACACATTGGACCGCATATACGAAACAAAATAAGGATGTTGTATACTTTGATAGTTATGGAAACTTAGCCCCACCATTAGAGCTGATTAAATATTTCAATAGCAATGGGGATGTAAATATAATTTATAACTATGATAGAGTTCAAAGAAATTCTTACAAGTGCGGCCATTATTGTTTGAGTTTTCTATATAATCAATATAATTGAAAAAAGTTTTCATTCTGAGACATTTCTTTGTTGTGTAAATATGTCTTTTTCATTTACTTTAAGTGGTAACTCTTCAATTTTAAGTTATGATTTTAACCCTCCAATATATTTAGATGAAAATACAGATTATGAAATAGGATTAGTCAGTTTCAATAGTTTTAACACAATTCCAAATATTGATGAAAGCAATAATTTATTTGTATGGGGTGATAAAAATAAGCTAAATGAATTTAAAGTACCGGTTGGTGCTTATGAGTTAGATGATCTTATAAGTGTTTTAAAGAAACATATGAATGATAAAGATAAAAATGCTAAAATAGATATAATACCGGACATAAATACTTCAAAAATTTCTATTTCAAGTAATCGTATTATTTCTTTTAATAATGCAAATTCAATCGCACAAGTGTTTGGTTTTGATGTCCAAAGGCTTGATCCTGGTAAAACTTATTCATCAAATCATCCAGTTAAAATTTTGAAAGTAAATTCTGTAGGTATTGACTGTAGTATTGCGGCTGGTTCCTATTTAAATGGGAACCCTGTTCATATTATCCACCAATTTTTTCCGACAGTACCCAGCGGGTATAAAATAGTGGAATCTCCTCAAAATATCTTGTATTATCCTGTCAGTGTCAAGACAATCAACAACATTACAGTAAAGATTATTGACCAGAGCGGTGGTCTCATAAATTTTCGAGAAGAAGAGATTACGGTTACCCTTCACATTAGAAAAGTATAAAATGGTTCTATCATTTTTTCATCCACTTAAAAACTATAAAAGATTGTCCCTCCAGAACAGACAAATCAGTTTTGCAAAACCCTTTGCAATAATAACACCCATTAATAAAAAATTTTTAACTTCGTTAGGATTTAAAGTATTAATATAATGGAAGTACTTCATGTAACCGGGCAACCTTTTAATGATACAACTATAGATGATTATCAATTTCATACCTATCAACCCTTCATTACTGGAAAACTCAATTATAACGATGAAATTCGAATCCCCATTCAAGATTTAGATGCTTACACATTGCCATTAAAAAGTTATTTGTATATTGAAGGAAAGTTGCTTACTGATGCTGGAAAAGTACCAACTAAACTACAATTTATTAACAATGCCATAGCATTTTTGTTTCGTGAACTCCGTTATGAGATAAACAGTGTCGTAATAGATTCTGTAAGAGATGTAGGTCTTGTATCGACCATGAAAAATTATTTGAGTCTTAATGAAAACGAAAGTGTACTAATGCAAAATGCTGGGTGGTTCCCTAAGGAAATTAAAAAACTTGCGACAGATTCTAAAGGTGTTGTAACAGTAGAGACAGAAAAAATTTTAGTTGATAAAGATGGAAACTTTAATGTTTGCATTCCCTTAAAAATGTTATCAGGTTTCTTTGAAGATTTTGGTAAAATAATTATGAATATGAAACAAGAATTAGTATTAATTCGTTCCAGTGATGATATTGATGCCATAATAAGTTCTGATGATTCTGAAAAACCAAATATCGAACTTCGTGCACTCTCCTGGCACGTACCACATGGCACCCCTAGTATTAGTCAACAACTTCGACTAAATAAAATTGTTCAGAGTAATAAAGAATTACCAATTAAATTCCGTTCTTGGCAAATGATTGAATATGCTTCACTTAATAATTCCACTAGACATACTTGGGCTGTTAAAACAAGTACAAAAATAGAAACTCCTAGGCATATAATTATTGGATTTCAAAAAAATAAAAAAGGTCAAATTAAACAGGATATGAGTAAATTTGATCATTGTAAACTCAACAACATCCGAGTATTTCTAAATTCGGATAGATATCCATACCACGATTTAAATTTAGATTTTACCAATAATAAATATGCCACATTATATGATATGTTTGCAAACTTTCAGGAAAGTTATTATCACTTTAATTTAAATCAACCAATATTTAATCCACAAGAGTTTAAAGAAAAAGCACCCTTAGTACATATCGATTGTTCAAGACAAAAAGAAGTGATTCAATCCGGAAGCATTGTTCTTAGAATTGAATTTGAAACTGATGAGCCCACGTCAACGGATATATCAGCGTTTTGTCTCATATTACACGAAAAAGAATTTTCATATAATATGGAAAATGTAGCAGCGGAAAATGAAGCAGAAGGGGGTGAGGTAGCGGACAATCATCCCCTTGAAGATAATGATAGTGACATTAGTGATGTGCTAAATTTAACAAATTTCGAACCAGAAAAACAATGTTTAAGTATTTTTAAAAACAATTTAAGTGATTTTTTGCGCACCAACGATGGTGTTTTAAAAGAATACCCCAGGAAAAAAATGATGTTGGAAAGAAAATTGAAAAAATATGAGAAAAAGGTAATTAAAACGAGGGATTTAATTTTAGAAATGACCAAATATATCAATTTGTCAATAGAAATTAAAAATTGTATTAAAACTCAAACATCAGTGTGCGATAAATAGGTATACCTTCTTTATTATTCGTTATTACTTTTTAATCAATACTATATCAATTTATCAATAGACATTAAAAATTGTATTAATCCTCAAACATAAGTGTGCGATAAATAGGTATACCTTCTTTATTATTTGCTACACATATTCCAAAAGCCCACACACCGCATTAATAAATTATCACACTTAATTACAAATAATAAACACACACGAAATGTCCCGTATTTGTCAAATATTATCATTTTTGTTTGGGTAGACATATATTCTTAAACCAAACTAATTTTATAACATCTGGTCTGGATTCTATTTCTGGCCGCGCGGAAAAATATTCTAGAATAGTATAGCGACATTGCAGTGACATCTCTCATATAATTTCAGAACGAAATTTTCTTCGATATTCGCCAACAAAGCGAACTGTGTTAAGCACAGGAACACTGACATAGATATTATATGGATAGTCTCTTTCGACAATATAATGACGACACATATCGTCGGTGAGAATGCAATATGTCATACCTTCTATAGTCTAACATTACAGACAGGAGATATTGTCAGGTCAACACATTTTGCCATTCAAAGTAACTTGAACATGGAAACATATTATATCACATCGACAAAAAAACTACCCCACCACAATTCCAACATACCCCTATCAATCTTCAAACTACCCCTTAGCTAAAAAATTCAACTTACCAGAGCGTTCAGTAGCTCATTGAAAAGGTCTCTAAGCATAGATTAGGAATAAATTATAGAAAAAATTCTTACTCACCCTATTCAACCCCTAAACACCCCCCATACGTAGTTTTTAATGATAAAAATACATGTGATACATGATTGAAGAGGTCCTTACATCAATATTACGGAAAAATTATTGAAAAAATTCCTTCTCACCCTATTCAACCCCTAAACATCCCCCATACGTAGTTTTTAATGATAAAAATACGTGTGATACATCATTGAAAATGTTTCTAAGCATAGATTAGGAATAAATGATAGAACATATTTTTACTCACCCTATTCAACCCCTAAACACCCCCCATACGTAGTTTTTAATGATAAAAATACATGTGATACATGATTGAAGAGGTCCTTACATCAATATTACGGAAAAATTATTGAAAAAATTCCTTCTCACCCTATTCAACCCCTAAACACCCCCCATACGTAGTTTTTAATGATAAAAATACATGTGATACATGATTGAAGAGGTCCTTACATCAATATTACGGAAAAATTATTGAAAAAATTCCTTCTCACCCTATTCAACCCCTAAACATCCCCCATACGTAGTTTTTAATGATATAAATACATGTGATACATCGTTGAAAAGGTTTCTAAGGATAGATTATGAATAAAATATACAAAAATTCTTACTCACCCTATTCAACCCCTAAACATCCCCAAGAAAAACCAATCTATCATAGCGTTAACGGGGAGGTTATGCAATCAATGGTTGCACTAAAACAAATTTATTTTCTTAATAATATATTCTTAATTTTTACATGTTGTACAATATTTGATCAGACAGAGTGTATATAAATTTTCACCGCAGACGAAACAGTTATGACATGTCCCAGGAAGATTGAAGCCCGCAATACTAAAATGTTCTGTTATATGTATGTGCAGCAGGTTTTCCTGGAATGGTGTCACTATTCGATAATAGCAAACATAGCACAATTTCACATTTTCGCAAAGCACATAATTTTGAGTAACACAAAGCGTCTCTGATGAGGATAGTCTTAAAAATTCGTGACTTTGCAACCCACTGCTCTCCTCGACTTTATGGTCTACAACGGAGCAGTCTAGTGAAATACCGCTATCGTTGGTGTCTTCGTCAAATACCACCTCATCGCCTTGGTCGTCCATGTTAACAACTTCAAAATAGGTATATATTTTATATATATTCTACTGGATGGTAGGCACCCTGCCACTTATGTGGTATTTGGTATATGGCTTCCACTTGGTCTGATTTGGCACAATCACAACAAATTCCTATAGGCTGTGGTTCCTTCCTTAGGCTAAACAGAGGTGGCCACTTTCTATATTTGTATATAATTTTACACACTTTATATGGATCGACTAAGTCTTCATAAGTAATGAAAACCGGTCTTATTTGCATGCATTTTGGACAAAATGCTAAAATGTTCTTTTCTTTATCTGTTTTTGTGACCATCCGGGATTTCACTAAACGACAAACCAAACACAATTTTCGCTCGAGTTTATACTTATTCGGAGGATAGAGTATATCCAAAAGATCACCGAAGTCTTCGCTCGACATTACTAAACTAAAAATTATCAACGATTTTCATTTATATCCCCTCTTATATAGAACTCATGGAAATTAATAAAAATAAAACCACGATCATCATGTGGTACACCATCCACTCTACCATCTGGCGGTCACCTGTTTCCGGCCATCTGCGTCCTGCACATCTGGTCTACCATGAGTTCAAGACCACCGGCACATAACGTCAGGACAAGTCTGAATAAGTGGGGGCAACTACATATAGCATCAACAGCTCATTTTAATAAACACTATGAGTTTGGTGGTGCTTAGTAGAAGACTCCAAACGTTTACACAGGGCATTATAAAGGTGAAACATCAAATAACTCTTTACGAAAATAGAAGAAAAATTAAAAAGTTGAAGCAGAGTATTATAAAATTACAAAGTGAATACCAAAGTAAATTTATGTTTAAAAACTTTTCGAGACTATCTTTAACTGATGCGCCTGCGCAGTGGTAAAGTTTATGAACCCAAAGAAGAGAGACTATTTTTTATTTCTCGCAAGGAAGAAAAGAAGTGGATAGACCTGGTGTTTAAAAATATTAACCGTTTCAAAGATGGAGTGTTGCGCGAAGGGTGCCCTAATCGCCCAACATTCGAAAAAAACCGCTGCATATGTTCACACAAGAAGAACTATTGAATTTTAGTGTTGAATATTTAAGAAAATATGCTACTCCTTGGGAATTGTTGATGTCTTGGCATAAATTACAAATTGAAGCCACGACAGATTTTGTGGTGGGGACCCGGCTTCCTTGTTTTGTACACTACAATAGACCAGAGTGGCAAACCCATGTGGACCAGCACCAGCACAATCAAATTGTCATTTATGCATGTCAGTACTAAGATAAAAATAAAGAACTATTTTATAAGTTGATTTTTATTTCTAAAATAAAACAAATATTAAAAAAGATATATTTATTGCATAATAAAATTTTCATATAAGTAAAATACATTAGATAATGCACATATGCTGTTTTCACTTAAATGATGTGGACATTTCGGGGGTAATTTTGGTAGAGCCGGGTGTTCATCCATTTCGAACACTGGTGCTAAACTATATTTTCTAATGTACTGAGCCTTCTCCCTTCCTTTTACATAAACTGCTTCCACATTCTTAGTTACATTCTGGATAATATTATGGAATTCATGTAGTGGTGTAAAACCATGATTCCAATTTAACCCATGGTGATTGGCCATTAACCATATAGCTTGTCTATGGAATTCCTCATTTAGCAAACGCATACGGAAAGGTGCTTTAAAAAAATTGTGTGTAATTTTTTTTCCATCAAAAGTAGCCAACTCCTTGAAAAATAAATTTGTTTTTTTCAATGATGAAACCCTGAACATCTACTATTAAATGCATCTTGAAGACTAACTAGTGATGTTATCTAGCGAGAATTTATATTATAGTTTTAAACATGCGCTTTAAATTTGTTTAACAATTTTTGTTAGTGGATTGTAAGAAAATTCTTTCTCATGTAAAATCAGGCAGTAAGCAGATACTTCATTACCTACATTATTCTCGGTTTCAAATTCAATTCTGAGAACAATTGACCCACTCTGCAAAATTTCTTTTTGGTGTGAGCAGTCAATGTGGACTATAGGAGCATTTTTTTTAAATTCTTCTGGTGTAAATATTGGTTGATTTGTTTGAATATGATAATAACTTTCTTGGAAATTGGCAAACATTTCATATAAAGTTGCAAAGCGATCAGTATTAAAATTAAGATGTAAATCCTGATATGGATACCGCTCAGAATTCAAAAAAGCACGTATATTTGTTAAATTGAGATGATCAAATTTACTCATATCTTTTAAAAGTTTGCCTTTCCGGGCATTTTGGAATGCTACCACGATATGTCTCGGGCTTTCTATCTTTGTAGTAGTTTTAACAGGCCAGGTATGGCGTGTTGAATTAGACAAAGCTGGATATTCAATTAATTCCCAACTTCTAAACATTAGAGGTAGATCAACATTACTTCTAATTATTTTATTTAATCGAATTTGTTCTTTGATACTAGGTGTTATATGTGGAACATTCCAACACACTTTAATGATGTCTATTTTTGGTTTTTCCGTATCATCTGTAGCAATTACTCCATCAATGTCATCTTTTTCGCGAATTAAAACTAGCTCTTGCCTCATATTCATAACTATTTTTCTAAAATCCTCGGAAAACCCTGACCAGAGCCTGTATATCGTTATCATTATAATTTACATACCACATGTTTGCCAGATGTTAAAAAATTGCAGTCTTGTATTACATGCATGTGTGTTAAAAATATTCCGTGAGAAATTCGTTATCATTCCCAGAGATATTAAATTACATGCCAGATGGTCAATATGTGTTTGCCAGTATATCGTTATCATTATAATTTACATGCTACGTATGGACACCAGATGTTGTCATGTGTTCGCCAGATGGCCGGGTGCAGGTGTTCGCGTGAGAACCGGATGTCTTTATCTTTCCCAGAGATATTAAATTACATGCCAGATGGTCAACATGTGTTTGCCAGTATATCGTTATCATTATAATTTACATGCCACGTATGGACACCAGATGTTGCCATGTGTTCGCCAGATGGTTTCCTCATTTTGCCTTCTCATAGGGTTTCCTCATTTTGCCTTCCCATAGGGTTTCCTCATTTTGCCTTCTCATAGGGTTTCCTCATTTTGCCTTCCCATAGGGTTTCCTCATTTTGCCTTCCCATAGGGTTTCCTCAT